ATGCCCAAATGTCCTCCTTGAGGGCTATCATGTGCCACCCTCATGAGTTGTTCTCTGAATTTTTCGGGCACTACAATCTGGTTACACACTTCTGACTTTCCTGCCGACTTCAGGCTTTTAGTCTCTCTATATAGGACACCATCCTTAGTAATGAATCTAGAGGGTTGTTCTTCTGCTGACTCTAGTGTATTCTGAGCCTGTGTGAACAAGGGTTTTAAGGTTTCATCTGCCCTCTGTTCTTGCAGAATCTCTTTAACTCCCTCTGTTTTATCAACAATCTCAGTAATTATAGAACTGGATCCTGGACCCTCTTCTACCTCATGCTGAATGGTTAAGCACATTGCTTCCTGAGTAGGGCCTCTGATGTTATTTTTATTTTCCTCACATAACATCCTCCAGTTTTTAATTTCCTTAGCCAGGTCATTACCGATTAAACACTTGTAAGGTATATCTGGGCTGATGGCAAAGTCCCAAATTCCTTTCCAACCCTCGTATTCGATTGGCAATGCAACTACTTCGGTTGGTATCGCAGGTCCCAAGCCTTTTAAATTAATTTCTGAAGTGGGATGTCGAAACTTTTGAGGTATTGCTTCTGGATGAATGATGCAAACATCAGATCCAGTATCTCTCCATCCCTGCATATCCTTATTGCCAATAGAAATAGGCTCTAAATAGTCCTCAGATGGTTTATCTGACAAAATAAACAAACATTGTTTCTCTTTGAGCACTGCTTCAAGGCTGCCTCTATACTTAGTATCTTGTTCTGCCTTGGTTTCTACAGCTACTTTGTTCACAAAGAAAGATGTCCTTTTTTAAAAGGGGACATTGATATCTTAAATGGTCCCATTTGCCACATTGAAAACACCTCATCTTTCCTTCAGGCATGGTTTGGTTTGTTCCGCCCTGTCTCCTCCAGGTGGTGTTTTCTCCTACAGGCCCTCTTCGCTGCTGTGCGCGCTTGGTAATGATAAAATGGCAGCTTATTCTGCTTTTTATCACTTGGCCCATCATCTTTTTAAAATCCTTCTCTCAGGGTGATCAATTGATCCACCATGACAGCGGCTTCCCCAGCAATTGCTGGTTTGCGATCCTGCACTAGCCATCGGTATTCTGAGGGCACTAACTGAAATAGCTGTTCTAATTTCATTAACTCCCTCAATTGTTGATAGTTCTCTACCTCAGAGGTTCTTAACCAACTGTCAAAAAGCTGAGCTTGCTTTGAGGCTACCTGAGCAAAACTCTGATTTCTTTCTCTCTTCAGAGTTCTAAATTTCAATCTATAGAACTCAGGCATCAGTTGAAGCTTTTGCTGTACTTGTTTTTTGAATAAACTGTAATCTCTATGAGACTCTTAAGGCATGTCACCATAGATTTCCAAAAGCTTCCCGCTAATTGGAGGTCTCAAATAAATCATCCACTTCTCCTCACTAATCTCAAAGTCTCTACAGCGCCTTTCAAATGAAATTAAAAACTTTTCCACATCATCGTCCTTATTAAACCTTGGGAATCTCTTTAAAAACATGTCTGTTGCCTCAGCTCTAGAGTTCCCTTCCTGGTTATTGATGTGTGGCTGAGATAATGTTAATCTCTGTTGTTCTAATTCTATCTCCATTCTCCTTAATTCTTGTTCTTTTTCTAACTCCAACTGTCTCAATTCTCTTTCCTTTTCCTCAGCCTGACTGGCTTTTTCTAATACCAACCTCTTCAATTCCCTTTCTTTTTCCTCAGCCACCATTCTCAATTCTCTTTCCCGTTGTCTTTCCTCCATTTCTTACTTTTTCATCTCCAGTCTATATTTGAGAGTCATCTCTGACACAGGCGTTTCTTCAGAATCTGAACTCTCCTCCTGGTATTCATCTGCTTCTTCAGCAATCTTTTTCTGACGTCTAGAGGCCATTTTCTGTCAAATTTTACCTCACGATTTTCTTCTCCAAGCGATCTTAAGGCACTAAACTTCGTTGTTACACGTATCCCATGCTTGCCGCCAATTGGGACGATGCTGACACAATGATAGACTGGGTGTAGGGATTTTATCTTTGAAGATCCCCACCGCTATCACCAATTGTACAGATGTGAATGTTATGGAGGGAATTTATCTCAGGCCTCAATTGTATAAAAGAGTATATTATGGAGGAGGCCAGTTATTGTTTGTAAATTAAGGTAACTGCCACCAACGTGAGGTATTTGAGGTACCACTGATGAGATCTGGCTCTAAAGATGCAAATTAGTTGAGATGAGACGGTTTTCAACAAAAGATAACAAGTTTATTGTGTACAAAGCTTATGGTTGCAGGCTGTTAAATAACTTATGGAACTTTGAATAACACGTGGTTTATAATACAGTCCACTCTTCCAGATAACACAGCTTGTGGCTAACTTTCACTGAGGTGAAGCTCTCTGGTGAACAATGTTTCACTACTATAAATAGCCTTACAGTTTGATCTTCCCTCGATCAAATCTCTGATCTCTAGTCCTCCCTTAACTAGGGATCTTAACTAGGCTTCCTTTAGTCTTCTTTGACTAAAGAATCTGGCAAGGTTTCCTTCTTCAGCCCTCCTAGACTGAAAAAACACCAGCCGCTCACACACACCTCTTTCTCAGGCCTTTTCAAGCCTCACTCTGCTGCTTTTTAAAACGCACATAACTTTTTCCTGCTTGGCTCCGCCCACTTCTCCCTCCATGAGCTAGGCAGCCTCGTCTCCTTGGCAACGCTCACTGTGGATTCAAACTAGATGACTCCACAGTTTTAGCTACTGTTACAAGCACAAATATATACTCTAACAGTTAAACATAAACATAATAACAATGACTTCTGCACACCATCCTTGTCCAGGAATCTCCATGCCTTAGCTCCTTGAGCATACCTCCCCATTATTCACTTCCTCAACTTCTTCTGGCCCTTTCTTCTAATTGCTTTTGGCACAAAAAAACCCATGCCTGAGTCCCAAATGCTCTTAAGTGTCCTAATGGAGGCTTCTTTCCATACAAAAGAAATATGGGGAATTTTGAATAGGTTCAGACCATATTCTATTAATTAAATAATTGGCAGCCATAATTGCCTCCGCCAAAAGATTACTTGGTAACCCTAAATCTGCCAAAAGAAAATCCTTTACTGTTTGAATCTTCCTGACAAACCTCTCTATTTTGCCATTTTCAGCACTTTGGTACACACATTTTAGCCTGTGCTTAATCCCTTCCTTCTTAAGGAAATTTTCCAAATTATGTTACGTGAATTCTCCCCCTCTACCTTCACATCTACTTCAAACTGCCTTTTTATATAAGCAACCCAGTTTTTTAAAATTCAAACACTTTTGTGTTTTAACAAAAAACTTCACTCAAAATTGGAGTAGTCATCTAGGATACACAAACAATAAATTGCCCCTCCTTTGCAGGGATGAAAAGGCCCAATTAAATCTGCATGCACTAGCTGGAAAGGCTTTTCCGAGTTTCTCAGGATCTTATTTATAGGAGCAGATTAGGCTTTGGTTCTCTTGCATATTGTGCAATCCAAAAATGTTTGCAGTCTTTTAAATTCAGACCCTCCCTGTACTCCTGCATCTTGTACAGTACCTTAAAACTTTGATGGCCCAAAACCCTGTGCAACTCATCAATGCACCTATGGTGTAAATTAGTATTTTTGCTTATTATGCTAATATTATTGCCATCCCTTGGCTCAAACACATATAAACCATCCTGTATTCTTCCTGTTCCATACAGTTTGTTCCCTTTCAGAATTTTTACCTTGCCTCCTGAAAAATTAACATCAAACCCCTCTATTGAGTTTCTCCACTGATAAAGTGATTATAATCCATCCGTGGAACAAAAAAATACATTCTCTGTGGTTTTCCCTAAATTATCAACAAAAACTTTTGCTAGCTCAGGGAGGGAAACTGCTGAGTCATGGGGGTGGACGGTACACCATCAGAATTCCCAAGCTGTCTGCGGTTCCCACCTTCAGGTGGACACACTCAAACCCAGAGGATTGCGGAACGGTGCATCTGACCAGAGCAATGGACTGTCTAAAGATCACTGCAATCCCTCCTCCCCACCCCCCCGGACCTAGCCTGCTGGTGCACCCCGAAACCTGGTGGGCACAGCTGCATAAGATTTACTCCACCCAGCTCATCCAACTACTTCCTGGTGATGCAATCCAGATCTGCCCCCTCATCCAAGACCAAGTCTTGGATGACAAGTGTTTTTCCATTGACGGATCTGACATTCACAAGCAGGATCTTAAGTACAGGGGGTCTGTCATGGAGACTACCGCACCTAACCTCCAGGGTCGCAAGAACTCTATTGTGCTTCTCCCTGGGTTGGAAGCGACCAGCATTCCTCCTGCCTCACATAACCTCAATGGTACCACTCCCACTCGAGTCCTCACCCCCTCCCCCGGACTATTGATTAAGAATGATGTCCTGTGTTCACAACACAGAGAAACTAAATCCTATCTATAAATGTGCCTGTATGTTGAATTAATACAAGATGTTGATGAGTAAACAGGAAATGTTACTTTTTAGGGAAGACTTTGGTTTTTTGTCTCCGAGTGCATATTTTTAAACTAAGTAGTTTCAATGGAGAGTATATGTTTTGGGCAGCTGCAATTTCAAATACAACTTCAAAAAAGGATTTTCAAAATTCTGCTAGATAAGCATATGGTTTTTTGTTTTGTTTTTGTTTTATTGGGGGGGGGCATAGTGGCATGCCCCTAGCAGTTCAAAGACATGGTTTATCAGTTGAGTTACCTGTGTGCCATTACATGAATGCTTATGAAGATCACTTTTTCAAAGGGTTAACTTCTAACAAGGTCATGCCTTTCCTTGACTAGTGGTTTTTAAAAGGTGGTCTCCAGATGTTCATGGGAGATTCACATTTGCCAAAAGGATATGACATAATTATTATTTTCAAAAATATTATGTATGCCATTTTTCCAAAAGATGTTTGTCCGTGTCAAGTCATTACCTCCTTTTCCACTGTTAACATGTTTCTTCTCTTGCCTTTCAGAATCCCCCACCTTTTGGAACAGATGCTTTTGAAGAAGAAACACATTTGAAACTCTGAAAGCAGCGCTTATAGTGCAGGAGAGTTGGTCGTTTATTCAATATTTTCCCCCTTGGGGGCTAGGGGAACCCTCAATACCAATTGCAAGATTAACGCCTGCAGTAGCATTTCTGTGTTTCCCAGCTCTAGAAGCAAGGGGCAGATATGGAGAAGGGTTTAGAGGGCCCAGGGAAGATCCCTCGCATCGTCCAGGTGATGTGCTTCAATGGGGTTCCAAGGCAGGTAAGCCAACCACCCAGTGTAGCGTTACCCCAGCAGTGGGATGCCCAGATGCAAGAATTCCTAAGGAGTGCTCAGACGGGAGACGGGAACCCTCCACTGATGGACGCCGTGCCCTGGGATGACGCCAAGGCTTTCCTGTCTGCCTTTGAGCAAGTCGCCGAAGTCTGCCAGTGGCCAAGAGAGGAGTGGGTGGGCCGGCTCTTGCCGGGACTGCGTGGAGGAGTGGAGCAGTTTTTTTGTAGGCTGAGTCCTCAGGAGCGGCAAGATTACCAGAAGGTGAAGGCCACCCTCCTGCGCGCAGACACCTTCAGAATGGAACGGAAGCGTCAGCATTTCCGGCAGTGCACTTACCAAGAGCTAGAAGGGCCTCGACGGGTTTACAGCCAGCTCCAGGAGCTCTGCCGTCAGTGGCTGAAGCCGGAGAGACACTCTAAGGAGCAAATTCTGGAGTTAATCATCCAGGAGCAACTCCTTGGCATGCTGCCATTGGAAGTCCGGCGCTTTGTGCAGGATTGTGCCCCAGAAGACTGTGTTCAGACAGTGACGCTGGCAGAAACTTTCCTGTTGGCTCGTCAGCAGACAGCTCAGTCATGGAACTGGCAGGTAAGAGATGGGTGTTCTGCTGTGTTCCGCTGTGTTCCGCATTTGCAGGGCTATGGAGTCCATAAGTCAAATCTGTAGCTCCAATGTCTTTTTTTGCTGCACAATTTCACCTCTGAGTGCCAACACTTTTGTAAATGGCAACTGTAATTGAAGTTTCAATTAGAGACAATGTATATAAAATGTTCTACAGATGTTACACAACCCCAGCCAAAATAGACAGCTCACAATCAGGTTACTGTTGGAGGTGCAAAACAAAGAAAGGGACCTTTTTTCACGTATGGTGGTCTTGTGAACTTGTGCAGGTTTATTGGAAAAGAATAATAAAGGAAACAAATAAAATGATCCACAACAAAGTAAAAAAATCCAGGGATGTGCCTATTAGGGATTTCAGATATAGACTAGAACAACCAGATAGAGAAATTTGTCTGTACAGCTTTGCAGCTGCACGCATTACAATTGCCAAAGATTGGTATGGGGAGAAAACATTAAGCATTAAAAATTGGAAGAATAAACTGTGGGATTCTGCACACATGGCTACGATTTCTAGCAATCTGAAATATGAAAATCATGAAATATTTGAAAGAAACTGGAAGCTGGAAAGAAACTGGAAGCCTATTTGACAGGAGATTTAAAGAAATAAAAACAAGAGGAATTTATTGAGCTAGAAGTATAGATGGTTAAACAAAACATGCATAAACTCTGCGGGGATCAGTGACGGAAGCCAAGGTGGTGGGTAGCACTGGGGGTGGGTTGAGGGTTAATTGTACTGTGGGCGCGGGTTGTCTGTGTATGTGTATATGTCTGTATAAAGGGTGTTAAGGAACGAGAGGTCCCTTAACGCATGTGTGACGGGGGAACCTTCCTTGTCCATCCCACCGCTGCCACCACTGTAAAGGGAGTTAAGAGATCAGGGTCTCCCATTGCTCCTGTGTGACAGGAACGCGCGAGGGTGTTACAAGTGATGAGAGAGAAAGGTGTGTGCACATGGTAGGTTTGCTGCCACCACCTCAAACCTCTGATTGAGGAATTAACTAGATGATACACCCGAGATAAAATGTCCCTATACACCGGTTCTTCTCTTTGGCTCCCCCTCCTGTGACTGGACTGCAGAGATGCAGAGGCTGACTGAATCTAGCCTTATATAACAAAACAATGTGGTGGGGAGGGGGAGATACGGGAAAGGGAGACCTTTAATTCGGCCTAGGGAACGTGGAATAACATTAGTAATTCCAAATCGGTCTCCTGATACGGTAAGTTGGTGTAACCAGGATGGCGGTCCCTCCGAATTGAAAGTGGTGCTGTTGAACGCCAGATCTGTCAATGGTAAAACAACCTTCATCCAGGATTTAATCCTGGATGAACGGGCAGATCTGGCGTGCATAACAGAGACCTGGCTGGACGAAGCGGGAGGTGTAAATTTGACCCAGCTTTGTCCACCGGGTTTCTCTGTGCAGCACCAACCGAGATCCGGAGGGCGGGGAGGCGGAGTTGCAGTGGTCTATAGAGATTCCATTCTTCTGACCAGGGCCCCCATCCCGCAGTCAACAAATTTTGAATGCGTCCACCTGAGGGTGGGTGACCGGGACAGATTAGGGATTCTGTTAGTGTACCGTCCACCTCGCTGCACTACAGTCTCCCTGCCTGAGCTAGCAGGGGTGGTCTCGGACCTGGCATTGGAGTCCCAACGGCTACTTGTGCTGGGGGACTTCAATGTCCACGCCGAGACCGCCTTATCGGGAGCGGCTCAGGACTTCATGTCTACCATGGCAACCATGGGGCTGTCCCAACAGGTATCTGGCCCCACCCACAGTGCTGGACACACATTGGACTTGGTTTTCTGCCAGGGATGGGAGGAAGGTGGCGGTGTTGAGGAGTTATCCATCTCTCCGTTGCCATGGACCGACCACCACCTGGTCAGCTTTAGACTCACTGCACCCCCTAACCTCCGCAGAGGTGGAGGACCCATTAAACTGGTCCGCCCCAGGAGGCTTATGGATCCGGATGGATTCCTGATGGCTCTTGGGGAATTTCCCGCCACCTCGGTTGGTGATCCTGTTGATGCCCTGGTCACTCTCTGGAATAGGGAGATGACTAGGGCAATAGACACGATCGCTCCAGAACGTCCCCTCTCAAGTAGCCGAGCTAAACCAGCCCCTTGGTTTACTGAGGAGCTGGCAGCGTTGAAGCGAAAGAAGAGGGAACTAGAGAGCGTGTGGCGTTCGGATCCGAGCGAGCCAAATCGAACACGGTTTGTGTCCTTTTTAAGGGCATATGCCGCGGCAATAAAAGCCGCAAAGAAGACTTTCTTGCGGCCACTATTGCGTCTGCAAAGAACCGTCCGGCTGAACTGTTCCGAGTTGTCAGAGGCCTGTTAAAACCCACCACTCAGGATGGGTGCCCTGATGACTCGGCAGCTCGCTGTGAAGCCTTTGCTCAGTTCTTTGCAGACAAAGTCGCTTTGATCCGCTCTGGACTGGACACCATATTAACGGCAGTCTCTGAGGATGTAACACGAGCATCTGCTTGTCCAATTTTGATGGATTCATTTCAATTGGTTCAATCCGAGGATGTGGACAAGGTGCTTGGAGGAATGAGAGCTACTACATGCATCCTAGACCCCTGCCCATCCTGGCTTCTGAAGGAGGCCAGAGGGGGATTGGCCGAGTGGGTGAAGGTGGTGGTTAATGCCTCCCTTCGGGAGGGCAAAATTCCAGCCAGCTTAAAGCAAGCTGTTATAAAACCGCTGTTGAAGAAACCATCACTGGACCCCACTCAATTCGTCAACTATCGGCCTGTTTCCAATCTCCCCTTTTTGGGCAAAGTCATGGAACGTGTGGTGGCCTCACAACTCCAGGCATTCTTGGTAGACACGGATTATCTAGACCCGGCACAGTCTGGCTTTAGGCCGGGGCATGGTACCGAGACAGCCTTGGTCGCCTTAGTGGATGATCTGCGTCGGGAGCTCGACAGGGGGAGTGTGTCCCTGTTGGTGCTGCTCGACCTCTCAGCGGCCTTCGATACCGTCGACCACGGTATCCTTCTGGGACGCCTCGCGGGGATGGGTCTTGGAGGTACTGTTTTGCAGTGGCTCCGCTCATTCCTCGAGGGTCGGTCTCAGAAGGTGTTACTGGGGGACTCCTGTTCAACCCCACAACCTTTGTCTTGTGGGGTTCCTCAGGGTTCAATACTGTCTCCCATGTTGTTTAACATCTACATGAAGCCGCTGGGCGAGATCATCCGGAGTTTCGGAGTGCGATGTCATCTGTACGCAGATGATGTCCAACTCTGTCACTCCTTTCCACCTGCTACTAAGGAGGCTGTCGAGGTCCTGAACCGGTGCTTGGCCGCTGTGACGGTCTGGATGGGGGCGAACAAATTGAAATTGAATCCAGACAAGACAGAGGTACTCCTGGTTAGTCGTAAGACCGAACAGGGTATAGGATTACAGCCTGTGTTGGATGGGTCGCACTCCCCCTGAAGACACAGGTTCGCAGTTTGGGTGTGATCCTGGACTCATCGCTGAGCCTGGAACCCCAGGTTTCGGCGGTGACCAGGGGAGCATTCGCACAGTTAAAACTTGTGCGCCAACTGCGACCGTACCTTGGGAAGTCTGACTTGGCCACGGTAGTCCACGCTCTGGTTACATCCCGTCTTGACTACTGCAACGCTCTCTACGTGGGGTTGCCTTTGAAGACGGCTCGGAAGCTCCAATTAGTCCAACGGGCGGCAGCCATGATACTAACAGGAGCGGGGCGCAGGGAGCATACAACTCCTCTGCTGTACCAGCTCCACTGGCTGCCGATTTGCTACCGGGCCCAATTCAAAGTGCTGGCGTTGGCCTTTAAAGCCCTAAACGGTTCTGGCCCAACATATCTATCCGAACGTATCTCGGCCTATCAGCCCACCAGGACCCTAAGATCTTCTGGGGAGGCCCTGCTCTCTATCCCGCCTGCTTCACAGGTGCGGCTGGCGGGAACGAGAGACAGGGCCTTTTCTGTGGTGGCCCCTCGGCTTTGGAATGCCCTCCCCATAGAGATAAGATCAGCCTCCTCGCTGATGGTGTTTCGAAAAAAACTGAAGACATGGATGTTTGAACAAGCATTCGGCTAATCCGATGCAATGAAATTGATGATCAAGGACTGGTAATCACAGACGATGAAATTGGATTATGATTTTAGTTAAGAGATGCATTGGTCTGTATTGGTGGCCCAATATTGTGTATTATGTATGTGTTTTAATGCTTTTTAAACTGATTGTTGATTATTGTAGTGTTGTAAACCGCGTTGAGTCGCCATTGTAGGCTGAGAAACGGCGGTATACAAGCGCAGTAATAAATAAAATAAGATAAATAAACAAGGCTGAGGCAGATCAAAAGCAAACTAGGGAACAGGTTTATTAAAATATTTGAAACAGGCAACTCATTACTGAGTGGTACATATGCGTAGTTGGTTTCTGAGGCACAGACTTATAAAACAAATGGTTTCTATAGAAGGAGTAACTTTTCTTTGACGTGAGTTACTTTCCACACACTATCTCTATAGCAAGTAACAGTGTGTCTCTTAGACCAGCCGCCCTGGCTGCCTACCAGAGTATCTAGGTTTCTACTAGTCTACTCTGAACTTTAGGGAAATAAACCCACTTGTATTCTATCCTAATACAAGTAAGCCTTCACTTTGACTGCCCTAGTCAAACTATACAGAAGCACTTGCTCTTTAATTATTCCCTAACAGTCTAATTCCTAGCTCACTTAGAAACTCTCTTCTCCCTGTCTGAAAGCCTAATCCTTTCTCTGCTAGATCAAATCCTTGTCTCTCCGATCAAATCATTCTTCTCCCCTCCTGTCAGAAATGACAACCTTTTACACTCTCCTTCAACTCCTCCCCTTGGGTCTAAACCAATCAGGAGTTGGCTGACTCCTCCCCTTGCCTCTCTGCCCTTACCAACATGGAGTCTGGCTCACTGACTACCAGGCTGCGGGCTAGCAAGCAAAGGTATGAGTTCATTACAGTCTGCAATGTATACGGTCGGTGTATTATCTTTTTAAAATTAAAAAAATTATAAATAAAAAGTAAATAGCATCTGTATAGCACAGGTTGAATATCAATTAACCAAGTTAATATCCATTGACCAAGCACAGGTTGAATATCCATTAACCAAGACACAAAATATCAAAAGCTAAAATAAATTTCTTAAATTTCCAGTCGGCCATCTTACTCAGCACTATTTCCAATTTTAATTTTTACATTTGGCCTTCCCATAGTTTTTAATTGTATGTTGTCTTATTGATAATGTTATATGTTTATCATCTATGTTTTATTTTATTTTCTTATATTGTTGTGATTATTGCCTGTATTGTTGTGTTTGGGCTCGGCCTCATGTAAGCTGCACTGAGTCCCTTGGGGAGATGGTAGTGGGGTACAAATAAAGTGTTATTATTATTATTACTATTATTACTCAGCCACCCAGCAATATTCCATGATAAAATCGTAAAAGAAAACAGAGTCTCCAAAGTATCTAATCTTGGAGCATACCCTAATTGGCTCTTGGTAACAGAAGGGATAGCAACTTTCCTCAGTTCTTTCTGCCCTTTTCTGCCAGGATGATTCTTTAAGTTATTGTTATGTCTGAAAAGAACCTGTTCATTGTATATAAAAAGCAAATGTAAAGATTTCCCGTGACACTAAGTCTATTTCACTGTATATACTCATGTATAAATCTAGAAATTTTATTCAAAAAGGTGAGAGATTAGTCTGTCCCAGGAGAAGCAGGAGCCCAGAAGTTATGGCCATTTTTAATGCCTTGGTCAGGGGAAATTAGCTACCTGAAGTGGCATTGATACTTTCCCCTCTCTGTAGAATTGCCCTTACTTTATTCATGAATCATATCAAAATGTGTAATTTTGGCCCCAAAGTCTGCCCTCAGCCAATACATGATGTTGACTTACACTGTCGCGACCCACAGAACACAGATTGTCTTAAACAGCAATTGAGGTGCAAAATAATAGTCTTTAATGCAAAACAAACTTAATGAGGCACTTAATAATCAGTGCAAATAGTTCAAAGGGTGTTTTCAAACAGAAACATAAACAGAAGATAGTCCGGAACTCTAGCAGGCTTGAATTGCAGCCAAAAATAACAGGAGATACAAAAACTTGTAGCAAATACAAAACAAAACAGTCTTTGAGAAATGCAAGGTACAAAGCAAGGTCCGAAAGGCAAAACGCTTAGTCAGTCAGGTCCAAGGGTCAGGAAGCCAGATGTAACATTCACGAGCGAAGGTTCCAAGGTCCGACGAAGCACGGCAGGAAAACAGGATACTGGGAATCCAAACAAGATTAAGCAGAGTAACAACGCATAACAACACTTTGTCGTCTGCAAGGAAGCAGGTCCCAATGTGCTCATTTTATTCACTATCAGAAGAATGAGATTCATTACTTGCATCTGAATCTGCTTGCGCAGCTGAAGCATCTACGCCACGCCAAACTTGCCACCTTTGCTCTAATCCCTGATCCTGCCAATAAGATTCCTCATTCCCATTATCCTTAAAACCCTCAAAATCATCACTCGAGGTTGCTTGATTGCAAATGTCTCTAATGTTCTGAACCAGAGTCCAGTTTACAGCCTCCTCCATCTCAGCCTCACTATCACTGGAGTTATCTGCTGTGTCTCTAAGCTTCTTAACCATAGTGTCACTATCACTGCCAGAGTCGCTAGCCACTCTCTTCACTCCCCTGTAATCTGCATCCATAGCTTCCTCTGGGCAGAATCCTGCAAAGTCTTCTTCATCACTGGAAGCCAGAAAGATGTCACGAATGCGTTTCAGCTGGCGCTGATTCTCCTCTGCTTCTGCATCACTCCTCCTTCTTCTCCTACTACTGGTAGTAGGTATGGTGTCAGAATGCTGACTCACAACATATACATAAGTATAAGACAACATCATGGAATTTAATTAGTTTGTACTGGAGCAGTAACTCTTGCCAACATCTCTATCTCAATTAAACTTAGACCTTACTATTGGTTTTGTGACGGAAGAGTTCTTTCTTTAGATTATCCAAGCTCTGGAAAATTCTCTCCTTAGTCTGAGCTGCAGGAAAGCATTGGTTCCGAAAGACAATCATCCACTTCTGCAATGACTTTGTGGCCTTATCTGAAGATCGAGTGTATTGACTTGGACTTGAGTTAAACGGAGGAGGGTGATAGACAGAGAACACTGAGTAAGGGTTAAATAATAAGGATATTCACATGTAGATTCTGGGCTTGGAGGCCAATTGCCCAATTGTTTTTGGACATATATAAATTGACTATAGAGTTGTGTTAAGATACCTAGAGATTCTTTGATTCCAGTAACACGTTGAATCCCAAATAACACTGGAAATAATCCGTTTAAGTGGTTAAAAGCTGGCTTATTCAAGTGTTGTCGAACAGAACTAAAACTTTTCCCTTTGAGAAACTGATGTGCGCCAGTTGTTTGGGCTGAGTAAATAAATAAAGCAACTATTTCAGATGCAGTCTGCCAGAAACCAGGAAATAAAGTGAATTCTGTGAGGTCTTTATCCATAAAAATTCAGACTTCCAAATTTGGATTTCTGTTGCTGTTTTCAGGTCCCTATGCCAGGGACGAGCACAAATACCATGGTGGCTGTCGCACCTCCACTTCAGCGCTGTGCAGAAACCAGTCAGAAAGGCAATGGGGAAACTAATTTAACAGGCAAGGAGTTACATCTGGTAACAGGTAAGAACTTACATTACTTTCCAGCCAAGTGAGATACATCGACAGCCGTGGTGGTTCTGAAGTTCCAGTATTCGTTTCCTATTCACAGATCAGACGAAGGGTTCAGCTTGTCTTGTTGCCCCTGCACTGGCATGATACTTCAGCAATGGACATTACCATAAATCTGCTTTTAGTTTTGGGATTAACAGCCCAAGAGTTTTTCTTGTTAAAACATGTGGACATGGGTTATTTGAAAGGAAAATTATGTTTTCTAGAAGTCTTCAGGAAGATTGTTTTCTTATTTCAAGAAACTCAAAAGGGGTGGAAGGACTGCTCTAGCTGACCTTTGGCAGTCCAGCACCAAATTTTGAGTATTGAGGAACTCTTGAGACCTGTTAAAATTCCAAACTCATGTCCTGTGTTAACTCTATTTCTCTCTTTGTGCATTTTAATACAGGTATTTCATAAAAAATATACATTTTAATATACCATATATACTCGAGTATAAGCTGACCCGAATATAAGCCGAGGCACCTAATTTTACCACAAAAAAAACTGGGAGAACGTATTGACTTGAGTATAAGCCGAGGGTGGCTGTAGCGAACTACTAGTTATGGGGTAGAATTTAAAAGTAAAAGTTAATGTTAGGACAAGGCCTATATTGCAGGGTTGGAATGGGACCAGCCATTCTGTGATTCTTAAAGGGGTAGTAGCAGTAGGGGTGGAGCTAATTTACATAAGGGAATCTGATTGGTCATATTTAAATGAGCAGATGCCAGAATTTTAAAAAGGAGGGAGTTAAGGTTGACAGTTGGAAGAAAAAAACTGATCATTCTGAGAGAGAAAAGAAGTCAGTTAGAGAGAAGGAAGAAAAGCCATTACATGAGGATAAGTTAGGGGTCCATGAATATAGGTCAGAGAATAAGTTAAGTAAGAGTATTCAAGGAAATAGTCAGGATAGTGAGTGGAGAACAGTTGAGAGTTTGCTATTATATGGTTAACAAGTGAATCTATGTGTAGAAAGTCATAAGGATGAGAGTTGTCATGAAACAATGTTATATTCAACTAAGATGCTAATATACAAATTTAACCAACAAGCTTTTGTGCAAGACATCTATAAATAAACTCAGTTAATGTGGAGTTGTGTATCAAGACTGTTTCGCAAAACATTAAATAAGATTTAAAGAGAAACTCGGAGGAGTCCCAGCAGATTTCAAAAGAGAACTGGTATAAGTTACTGGCCTGAATTGGTGACAGTGGAGAAATATAAAGGAAAGGATCTTTGCCCCCCCCCCCCCCCAACTTGGTTTGAAGATATATTATGTGAAGAGGGCATCCCAGTGGCAAATGCAGCAGCTACTGGTAAATTTCAAAATAAAAATAGACACCAATACAATTACATTAATTGAGGCCTCAGTAGGTTAAATGTTATTGAATATTTATATAAAACTGTAATTTAAGATAAGACTGTCCAACTCTGATTAAACCATTATTCTAACCTTCTTCAATGTAAATGTGCTTACGTATCCTTCCAATAATAATAGAGTAAAAAAATAAATGTAATAATAATAATAATAATAATAATTAGAGTAAAATAATAGAAATGTAATAATAACAGTAAGAGTAAAAAAATAAATGCATAATAGAGTAAAATAATAAACATAATAATAGAGTAAAATAATAAATGTCATAATAGCAATAATAAATGGAATAAAATAATAAATGGAATAATAATAAATAAGAGTAAAATAATAAACATAATTATAATAGAGTAAAATAATAAATGTAATAATGACAATATAAGGGTAAAATAATAAATGTAATAAAATAATAGAGTAAAATAATAATAATGTAATAATAATAACAGAGTAAAATAATAAATAATCTTGATTCGAGTATAATAACAACAACAACAACTTTATTTTGATACCCTGCCACTTTCTCCCCAAAGGGACTCGGGGGCGGCTTACAAAGGACAAGCCCGAAAATACAGATTAAAACCCACACAATAAGATAAAAATGAAATTGACAACAACATCAAAAAACATTACGGTCACAGTTGTCAGGACATGATTCAAAGCTTGGGAAAATAAGCATTTGACTCCTGCCCCTGCCAACATACCTGAAGCAAGGTCAGCATCAACAGAGGAATCTGGAGGAGGAGAGCAGTCCTGAGAGGAAGCGATAATCAGGAGAAATTGTTCAAAGGAGTTGGAGAAGGCTGGGGAAGGGTTTGGAAGGGGAGGAGGGAAAAACACTATAAAAGGGACTGAAGGAAAAAGGGAAATTAGTAGGGTTATTCTCTTTCTCGTCTGTGTAGAAGCAATAAAGCTGGCTACGTCCACCTAGCGTGTGAGTACTATTTGATTGCTAAAACCTACCAGCAGAGTCTGACAACAGTACACAATTTTAAAAAGGGCTGAAAAACTCGGCTTATACTTAAGTATATACGGTATGCATTTTCATAATGTTTTATTATGATTTGTTTTTGTGTTGTCCCCCTCGAGTAGAGGTGGGTAAGAAATAAAATTATTATTATTACTATTATCGTCATCATCATCATCATTAAAAATAATGGCTACTTAAGGCGTTTAGGCCATAGGCTGACCACTTCCAATATAAGACTTTTTTTTTTGTTGTGTCAGGAGCGACTTGAGAAACTGCAAGTCGCTTCTGGTGTGAGAGAATTGGCTGTCTGCAAGGACATTGCCCAGGGGATGCCCGGATGAATTAATGTTTTTATCATCCTTGTGGGAGGCTTCTCTCATGTCCCTGCATGAAGAGCTGGAGCTGATAGAGGGAGCTTATCCGCCTCTCCCCAGATTTGAACTTGCGACCTGTCGGTCTTCAGTCCTGCCAGCACAGGGGTTTAACCCACTGCGACACCGGGGGCTCCTATTTAAGACATTGAAATACTTAAGAAAATCATGCCATAGGAGGCATGTAATATTCTAGCTATAGGACCGTTTCTGTGTCCCAACAACCACTTCCTGTTCTTCCTCTCTCGCTTTCTTCCTCTCCACCTTAGCAGCAGCTTCATTACAAACAGGGGAGTACTGCAGAATAGAATAGTTGTGTTTTTAAAAATTATTATTTGTGATCCATGGTTGGTTGAATCCTCAAATCCAGAGCCCAACAAGAACGAATAGCCACTGTCTATATTAAAATCAAATAAGCATATACAGAATAGAAAGTCTATAGCAAGATATTATGTTTTAATGGTTAGGTGATGTAGAGGTATGAATATCAGAGACTGTGGGTGATGATAAACCACTCACTTTACAAAATTCTTATCTTTCACAGCCAACACAATGCCCCCAGCAAGAAGCTCTGATGGTGCACCCCCTCCACAAGTCCAGCAGGGAGCTGGAATTGGGCTAATGCAGGCCCCTCCACAAGTCCAGCAGGGAGCTGGAATTGGGCTAATTCAGGTAAGTGGCTCACCCACAAAACTTCTTGACTGAAGGCAGAAGTACAGTCTTGTCCTTTGTTGAGTTAAGCAAGGCTTGCATTTTAATAAGAAAAGGACAGAGTTTGAGGAAGCGAATTGTTTTTGGTGCCCAGAATCCTCATCTCAGTATGGCAAGGGGTTGTGCATATCCTGTGATTCCGATCGGTCTGGGCCAACTGTATGTGATACTTGTAAATTCCCACCTACTGGTGTGAAGAAGACCTTACTAACTTATAATCAAAATTCAGTCAGAGACCTTTTCACACATGTGTGGATGCCCTTTTTTGGTTGATATTCCTATCTCCCCCAACTTACTACAAACCCCCAAAGCTATTTTGTCATTGCAAGCAAGCATTGGCTCCTCCCCTCATGGGAAGACACAGATAGATTGCAGCAGTGCTGAGATCTTCTAGGAAGCTGAGGGGCGGTTTCAGGGCTTCAAAATAAGCTTCCGGGGGGAAAGGGGAATGTAGCTCCTGGTATCCTAAGTCTGCATGAGGATATTCAAAGGACACTAAGGGGTTGTCGGACTGAGATTGGTCCTGGGGCCTGTGGGAAATCTGAACAAGACACGTGTCCCCTGTTTCAGGAGCCTGTGAAGGTGAAAGAAGAGCCTGATCTTGATTTGAGACCCTCCTGTAGTGAATTTGTGCGCGATGTCACCAGTGTTGGCAGCTCTAGCGCTGGTTCAGGTGAGCATCTTCCCTCGGGAAAGGGTGGGCAAAATGGGAAGGGATCTCAAAAATCCTAGTGTGTTAATTTTGTTTTAAAACATAATTGATATTTCCCGTTCACTTTAGGAAATAAACTGGTTAGTGTTGCTTTAGGAGCCCCTGGTTGTGCAGTGGGTTAAACCGCTGAGCTGCTGAACTTGCTTACCGAAAGGTCGCAGGTTCGAATCCAGGGAGTGGCGTGAGTTCCCGCTGTTAGCCCCAACTTCTGTCAACCTAGCAGTTTGAAAACATGCAAATATGAGTAGATCAATAGGCACCACTCTGACAGGAAGGTAACGGCGCTCCGTGCAATCATGTTGGCCACATGGCCTTGGAGGTGTCTATGGACAACACTGGCCCTTCAGCTTAGAAATGGATATGAGCACCAACTCCCAGAGTCAGATACGACTTAATGTCAGGGGAATGCCTTTACCTAACCTCACGTTGCTTTTTATTTGTGAGCTAAGATATTACATCCAGTCCTCCACATTCACTGGGGATCAATACCCTGGGAAAATGGAAAAACCATAAATAAAATACTTGGAGGGTTTTTTTAACCCACAGAAAATGCTGTTCTAATCTCAAAAATCTACTGAAACAATAAGATCTTCATCTGCTTGTGAAAAGATTGCAAGGAGGGTTTTTTTAATGTCAGTAGTGACTTGAGAAACTGCAAGTTTTCCCATCAAATATACCTGTGAGGGTGGGGAGACAGAAAGACCTCCTTAATAGATTTTGTATTTCAAGTATACACAATTCCAGAACGTAAAGTATTCCAATTTACTTTTCAAAGAATACAAAATATCCAATATTGTATACATATTTTACCTTTGTTTGTTTTTAGAAGTATACTTACATATATTTAGAACATTAAAACCCTTTGAGAAGAGATGTCCGAACGTCTTTCCCTCTGTGATTCACCTCGGAAGCTAAGATCATCGTGGAAGCCCTGCTCTTGGTCCCATTCCCCCTCACAAGCGCAACTGGTGGGGATGAGAGACAGGGCCTTCTCAGTGGTGGCCCCTTGTCTATGAAAGTCCCTCCCTAGTGAAATTAAATCGGCCCCCTCCCTCCTGACCTTCAGGAAATAACTGAAGCCATGGCTTTTGGAACAGTAAGCAGTGCAGTAAGAGACTACCAATAACAGAATGATGACTTGTATTAGCCCTGGAATATGATTTGGATTTTGTGATTTCAATTGATGTTTTAATGTTTATGTTTTTCATTGGGTTGATTTTAATGTTTATTTACCGATATGTATATACAGCATTGAATTTTGCCTTTGTGAGGCTGCCCTGAGTCCCCTTAGGGATGAGAAGGGCGGGATACAAATGTGATAAATAAATAAATTTGCAAAGCTTTTCAGGACAGGGTGCTTGCAAAAACTTAAGGTTTTTGCATGTTCAACCAAGATTTAATCTTAGGTTCTAAAGAATGGCTTCGCCAGGAATCAGTATAAAAGAAAGATGAGGAAGGCCCATTGCCAACACAAAAGATGCCTCAGTGTATTTGACCAAAGGTTCCGTTCATCTGTTTGCAATAAAGACCAACTAAATACTGTCCTTGAGTATAATGCCTCTGTATTTGTAATGTATGTAGCGTGTGCTGAGTATTATCTCCTCTCAGCCTAGAAAACTACAGACTTTGGCAAGTCCCACAAGGAGGCCGGGCTTTAGCACATCTGGTTAATCACTAGCATCAATAGATCTTTCCCAACCAAAAGGTTAGCAGTTCGAGCCCGGGTCGGGGTGAGCACCCGACCTTCAGCCTAGCATACTGCCCACCTAAGCAGTTCAAAAACAGCTGTGATTAGAGAAAATAGGCATTGCTTAAACAAGAAGGTGTTTTGCGGCACCATAAAAAAAACCTGCAATCAAAGAACAGGAGGAAAGTCTGTGATCAAAAAAGGCTCATTGTCATAGAGGATGGAGTGACAGCAGCCCTTGTGGCTGGAACCTAGCATAACTTCCAGGACGCTGAAGTTGGGAAAATGCCAACACATACTTCTGTCTGTCTCTCTGTCCTGTATGTCTAATGGCATTGAATGTTTGCCATGCATGTGTTCTGTGATCCGCTCTGAGTCCCCTTCAGGGTGAGTAGAGTGGAATATAAATGCTGTAAATAAATATATACATAATTTTTGTACCAGAACCTTTCTCAGGTATCCCAAATGGCTAGCATACAAATCTTTTGAATATGCTGCTTGGGATTATTTTTGGCTAGATGAGCTAAGGAAGTCCAAACTGACCTCATTTCCTGTGTTTTTTCCTAGTCCTGACACAAGAAGGCTTCTTGGCTCCTGTGCCTCAGACCATTGCGCAGCCTGTTCAGAAAGAACCCATCTTTCCCCCAAACTCTGAAAATGAGCAGTCAATTCCCAACACCCCCTTGGGTAAGTGTGTGCAGATGTGAGGCAGGGACAAGACCATCTGGAGGGTGGGAATTCCAGGTTTCTAGGCCTCGAGTACCTGTGTTGTGTCCGCATATTAAGCGTAGGAAAAAGTACAGGCATCAAGGATGCCCTAAGACAGTGTTTCTCGACCTGGGGGTCGCAAGGGGGCATCAGAAGGGTCGCCAAAGACCATCAGAAAAAAACAGTATTTTCTGTTGGTCATGGGAGTTCTGTGTGGGAAGTTTGGCTCAATTCTATTGTTGGTGGAGTTCAAAATGCTCTTTGATTGTAGGTGAACTATAAATCCCAGCAACTACAGCTCCTAAATTAAGGGGCCGTGGCATTAAGAAGGTTAAGAACCACTGCCCTAAGACATAATACTGAGAGACAGTGTGGGGTGGTGTTTTGAGTATTGGACTGGAATGTCAGAGACCCCTGGGTTGGATCGCACACAAGTCACACTCTCAGCCTCGGAAAACAACAAAGACAAACGCCCTCTGAAAAAATCTCATCAAGAAAACCCCATGTTAAGTTTATCTTGAATCACAGAACCTTATACTAGGAAGAGTCCCCCAAGGGCCATCCAGTCCGCCCCTTTTCTGCTATACAGGAAATGCACAATCACTGGGTTGTTGTAGTTTTTTTCGGGCTATATGACCATGTTCTAGAGGCATTCTGTCTGACATTTCACCTGCATCTATGGCAAGCATCCTCAGAGTTTGTGAGGTAACCTCATAACCTCTGAGGATTCTTGCCATAGATGCAGGCGAAACATCAGGAGAGAATGCCTCTAGAACATGGCCATATAGCCCGAAAAAACCTACAACAACCCAGTGATTCCAGCCATGAAAGCCTTTGACAATACAATGCACAGTCAAATCATCCCCAACAAATGGCCATCTAGCCTCTGTTTAAAACCTCCAAGGGAGAGTGCCACTGTTGAATAGCTTTTCTTACAGTCAGAAAGTTCCTCCTAATATTCAGATGTAATCTTCTTTCCTGTCATTTGAACCCATTGCTTTGAGTCTTGGTTTCCAGGGCACCTGAACATAAGCTTGCTCCCTCCTCTTTATGACATCCCTTCAGATGTTTAAACATGGTGATCATGTCTCTTCTCAACCTTCCCTACGGAAAATTAAACATATCTAGCCCTTTAAGCCTCTCCTCATAGGGATTTTCAGATCTTTGACTAGTTCGTTCACCCTCCTTTGGACAGATTCTGGTTTGTCAGTGTCTCTCTGGAATTGTGGTTGCCAGAATTTGGCACATAACAGCCCCTGAGATGTTTCACTGGCATTTTCCTATTCTGTTCTGGCTTCCCATTATTCAAACTGAGCGGTTGAGGCTGAGAGACAAAGAGAGGGAACATAATTTTCTAAGGGCAATTAGTGAATTGGTTTCCAGATATTCAGCCACTTACCTGTTCATAGGATCGAACTGGAAGTGACTCAGCAGGAAGTGATTCCTTGTGCATTTTTGTCTTTTTCCGCTAGGTAACATAATGCTGACTGGGATCAAAACAGAGGATAATCAGGATTCAGGGTCAGATACCGACGTCTCATTTGAATTCCCATTCCCGGAAGACAGTTCCTGGAGTCATGATAAGGACCAGGGTAGTGAGAAGAACCAGGGTAGTTCTGAAACAAACCCACCTCCTCAGGTGCCACAGGAAGAAACGTCCTCTCAAATTCAGCGGAAGAAGAATGGCCGTTGCTACCCACCCGAGAAAAAGCACCTATGCTCCGAATGTGGGCACGCGTGCTATTACTTATCTGACCTGCTGAGGCACATGAAGAAGCATTCAAATGAGCTATACAAGTGCTCTCAATGTGGGAAGGGATTCAAAGCGAAAGCCACTTTGACGGCTCATCAGAAAACTCATGTGGCACCGGACAACTCCAGCGGTACCAATCCGGCAGAGGACCAAACTGAGGGCGGATACATATGTTGTGAATGTGGGATCAGCAAAGCGACCGAGTTAGGCCTCACCGAACACATGAAGGTCCACACATCCGATAAGCACTTCCAGTGTGATATATGTGGCGAGGTCTTCAAATTGAAGACCACTCTCATGAAGCACCAGATGACTCACAACAACGTGAAGCGTGTAGTCACGCTGAAAGGTAAGCTTTGTGGGTTGTCTCTAGCTCCTCCAAAATGCATTGATTCTTGATTACTTTCTTAGACTTGCGGGTCAACAGGTACGCTGTAGGCGTTGTGTGGAGCAAAAAGTAGAACAGAATTAGAAGTGTGACAAAGTTTCAGTTTCCCTTTTTAGACTGCCATTCTCAAAATGCCTTAGCCAACTGAGCCAGTATTTTTAATCCTAAGAGACTTTTTTTTTCAAAACCAAGGGTGATTTCTGTTTATTTCTATGTCCGAAAGAGTTCAGGGTAGTCAGAATCATGTCATTCTCAATCCTGCAGACCCCACACCCAACATGCTGGGTTGACATGGAGGGGAGTAGTCCTCTGAGGTTCACATGGATTCCTGTTACTGTAAACCAGCGGTTCCCAACCTTTTTTTTGACCAGAGACCACTTTCCAACTTTAGTTTACATATATGAACACAGATTTATTTATTTATTGTCGTGTCAGGAGCGACTTGAGAAACTGCAAGTCGCTTCTGGTGTGAGAGAATTGGCCGTCTGCAAGGACGTTGCCCAGGGGACGCCTGGATGATTTTTGATGTTTTATCATCCTTGTGGGAGGCTTCTCTCATGTCCCTGCATGAGGAGCTGGAGCCGATAGAGGGAGCTCATCCGCCTCTCCCCAGATTCGAACCTGCGACCTGTCGGTCTTCAGTCCTGCCGGCACTGCGCCACCAAGGACTCCATGAACACAGATATTTTATACACACACACACATAAATGTGTGTGTGTGTGCGTGCGCATGTATTTATGGCTGGATTTACACTTTTAAAAATACCTGCACAAAGTATTTAACACTGAATTCTGTTTTTAATGGATTTTAACTGTGAATTTTTTGTTTCATTCTGTTTTAATGTTTGTATGTTATTCTAAATTGTATGCTAATGCTTATGTGTCAAGTCATTTTGAGTCCCCTTTTGGGGAGAGATACAGCAGGGTATGCATAAATAAGTAAATATACAAGGGTTGAATGAAAAGTAATGCCTCCACCTTTGTTACTTGGGTTTGGATGGGAATATTTTAATAAATCAAACACAGAAGTAATCCTTAGAATGTGCTCTTTAGCTACCACTATTCACTTTTTGAGATAATCACCAGACAATTGGATACATTTCTGCCAACAATGAACAATTTTTCTGAAGACGTCATGGAAGAAGTCGACAGTCTGTTTCCACAACCCATCATCCACAGATCTTCCAATAGCCAATCAAAGCAATAATGTGACCCACACGTTCTTGTGAAATGCTGATTATGCTTGAAATTTTCTCTTGAGTGATACAATGATCTTCCTGAATCAATTTGTCAACCTTTTGCTTGTGAAACTCAGTGGTTGCTGTCACAGGACGTCCAACTCTTTGTCATGCAAGTCAGATGTTCCCACCTCAGCATCTTTCAACTTACTCGCCTAACAATACACCATACTCACATCAACATACTCACCATAAACAGCTTGCATTCTCTGACGAATCTCCTTTGGGGTGACACCTTCTGCTGTCAAAAATTCAGTGACTGCACGTTGCTTAAGTCACATTGACCAATTGTCTGCATAGGGTTCCATACTTTGCACTTTAACAACACTACCGTTCAATGCTAAGACTTCCTGCTGAACTGGAACTGTAGAGGAGAGTCAACTGAACAAGCCAGTACCTGCCACATACCAGTACCGCCATTTGTTGAGGAGTTACGAAGGTGGCGGCATTACTTTTCATTCAACCCTCATAGTAAAAATTGTAGCCTGGTCAGATTCTGAGTGCTCAGAAGATTTACCAGATTTATTTATTTACCATATTTATATACCGCCCCTCTCAGCCCGAAGGTGACTCGAGATGAGGAATGGGATGCTGGGATAGATGCAGCAGGCCCAGAGGAGGATAGAAGTGGTCTAGAGAAAGTTGTTTTGGAATCTCCTAGCAGTTCCCATGAGACTGGAGAAAGTGATATTAGTTCTCATGAGAACCTGCCAGAAGTGCAGGCTGAGAGAAATGTGGGAGATGAATGTTTGTCTGGATCAGTGGTTCCCGACCTTTTTTTGACCAGGGAGCACTCTTCAACATTAGTACCAAAAGGGTTACGAATCCGTTTTTGGTCAACTTTAGATTCAGTTTGGTTATTTGCTTCTGGAAATTGCATCGGATAGACCACATCAGCTCTAGTTTCTGATACAGAACATATGCCATCCAGTAGTCGTCATCTGCTTGCCCACAGAAAACTGTATTTAATAATCTAGATCTGATGTGATCTATGCAATGCAGTTTTCTGAATCAGCACCCCAAATAAGCCCAGGAACAGGCCTAAAAACAAAGGTGCCCCCGCTTCCATGTGCTCAGGGGGAGGGAGGAGGAGGAGCAGCAGCAGGCAGGAGGGTTGTTGTCACACCTTTCATGGGTAGTCAACCTCTCCCCTCCCAACATCCCCATTGCCTTGGCACTATAAGAGGGTTTTGCAAGACCAGTCACTCTTGTTGCAATGATGTCATAACAGTGAGGCTGTGGACCATATTTTCGTTCTTGGGGAGCACTGGTGGTCCACGAACCACAGGTTGGGAACCGCTGCTGCAAACCTATGTTGAGTTAGTCAGGTCTGCAACCTGGAGGGTCAAGTTGGTATTGTAGGCTATAATTGTATGTATTCAAGTTAATGAATTCTGCAGTTTTGACACTGAAGTTGATTTTGCAGGTTTTAACTGTAAATCTGTATTTAGCTCAATGAATTTATTTATTTATTTATTTACAGTTCTTATATTCCGCCCTTCTCACCCCGCAGGGGACTCAGGGCGGATTACAGTCAACACATATATGGCAAACATTCAGTGCCAGTTTTGACAAACAACATTTAACACACAAATACACCAAGGCTATTTAACTTTTTTCTGGCCGCCAGGGGAGCTGCTGCTTTTCATCGTCCATCAGCGACACCGATGAAGTTCTTCCGCATTCCACATTCCCCGGAGTCTTTTTTCTTTATGGCCTCATAAATTAGTTAAATTTAGCCTCCCACACAAGGTGGTGCCTTATTTTCCTACTTGACAGATGCAACTGTCTTTCGGGTTGCAAAGGTCGACAACGGGCTACACAATGGCTGGACACCCACTCCAGCCCGGGCTGGCTTCGAACTCATGACCTTTTGGTCAGAGTGATCTTAATGCAGCTGACACTCAGCCAGCTGCGCCACAATCCCGTCTGCAACCTAGAGGCTGAAGTTGGTATTTCAGGCTTTAGCTGTAGATCTGCGTTCAAGTTAATGAAGTCTGCAGTGTAGAAACTGAAACTGGTAAATCTATAGTCTAGTTAGTCACATCTGCAGCTTAGAAGTTATTACTGTAGACTTTAACTATAAATCTGTATTCATTTGTAGCAGCAGATAGGAGAGATAATAGGAGAGATAATCAAAAATTACAACAGCAAAACAACAGAGAGTAAACGATCAGGCACATCAAATCACCTCTCACCTCTCAAAGAAAGATTCCCCCAGGCACTTCCAAGCCATTAAATGCGAATCAAGGTGGTCAGTTGAAACATTCACACCTAGCTCCTGCAGACAAAAGTCCTTTGTCCCACCCTGGTCTTTCCACAGATATATAAACCCATTTTCCTACTTCCAACAGACCTCACTACCTCTGAGGATGCTTGCAGTAGATGCAGGTGAAACGTCAGGAGAAACAACATTAAAAGCTCAGTAAATTTCTAAAAGGATAAGAATGATTTGCCTTGGTTGGAGAAGGAAAGTAAAGACCTCCCTAGGGAAGGAATCTGAAAGCCTGGCCTTGAGGTGGAAGCTTTTTCTCTTGACTTTCATACCAAGGATTCAGACATCTCGAATGATAAATTATCAGGAAGCCAAGCCCTATGAGGAGCAGCCTTAGGACCTGGATGTGTTTAATTTGGAGAAAAGAGGGCTGTGAGGGGTCATGGTAGCCATTTCAAAATACAGTAGAGTCTCATTTATCCAACATAAACAGGCCGGCAGAACATTGGATAAGCGAAAATGTTGGATAATAATAAGGAATAGCCTATTGAACACCAAATTATTTTACAATTTTTACAAATTAAGCACCAAAACATCAACAGAAAAAGTTCGATACATGGTAACATTATGTAGTAATTGCTGTATTTACGAATTTAACACCAAAACATAGCAATGTATTGAAAGAGCTGTGGATCCAGGCAGGAGGCAGACTGTGTTGGATAACACAGAATATTGGATGAGTGCAGGTTGGATAAACAAGACTCTGCTGTACTTGCATGACTGTCCTATTGAGGGATTGGCAAACTTATTTTCTGCTAGTCTAGAAACTCAGACACCAAGCAATGGCTTCAAATAGCAGGAAAAGAGATTCCACCCAAACATGAGAAAGAATATCCTGATGGTTAGAGCTCTTCTTTAGTGGATTATGCTACTTGCCTGGGAGTATGGAGGAATCTTGGGAGGCTTTTAAATAGGCTGGATGGCCATCTGTCCAGAGTGTTTTGATTGTATGTTCCTGCATGAGAGAATGGGATTGGGCTGGATGGCACTTGTGGTCTCTTCAAATTCTGTAATTCGGTGGTTTTTTAGCTATGTCAGAATACAAGAGGTATATATTATATTGTGATAGATAGGCTTTCCACTGGAATCGCTTCCTGTATTAATCTGCCAGTCATTGAGCATAGACAGGTGCCTAGTTAATACATCAGTAAGCCAGCTACAAGCCTGCTATTGTCCTCTTTCACTTTTCTCTTTGTTCTAGTTGGGGAAAGACCATGTGCCTGATTTTCTTTCCCTTCTGGTCACTGCAGGTGGGAATGAACCTCCTGTCCGGCAAGGAGTCAAAACCCTCAGGGTTGTGCTGACAAAACTTGGCTCTCGGACTGGGAAGCAGCACAAGTGCAACGAGTGTGGGTATGGTTTTGATAATGCTACTCATCTCGCGAATCACATGAGATCCCATACAAGACAGAGACCCTACAAATGCCAGGACTGTGGGAGAAGCTTCCGATGGCTATCAAGCCTTCAGCAGCACAGTGAAGTCATTTGCCCCAAGCGGACTGTCCCCAGTGCTTCTTTTGGAGGGCGTCAGGAGACCCAAACAGGTAGGCATGACAACTTGACTCATTTGCTTTTCTCCAACTCACTGATGCCATCATTTGTGTCCCCTCCCTGATGTTTTTTTCTGCAGTGGAAGAACTAGTTGCTATTGTTGTTATTTGTCATCATTTATTTATTTATTTGCAAAGTTTCTACCCTGTCTTCCTCCATCCCGGAGGGGACTCAAGTCGGCTTACACTTAGGAAACTTTTTGTTGCCCTCAAAAGCAATGTACAGTTAAAATAAACATTTAAATAGAATTATAAAATTCATTTAAACATGTAAAACTTGTCCAAATGTATCTCCTACTATGAACCATCACAAAGCTTAAGATCATCAGGAGAGGCCCTGCTCTCAATCCCATCACTCTTGCAAACGTGATTGGTGGGAATACGAGACAGGGCCTTCTCGGCAGTAGCCCCCCCCAATCTGTGGAACTCCCTCCCTAAGGACATCAGGTTGGCTACCTCTCTCCTGGCTCTGTGGCCAGGCGTTTGATTAGATGAAGTGACAACAAGAAAGGAATTTGGGTTTGCGGCATTGGATTTCCCGGCTTGATTTTTGCTTTTACTGGCACTCTAATATTAATGTTAAATGAATTTATTGGCTGATTTGTATGATGTTTTAAAGATGTTTTTATTGTTTTACTGTTTTAATTGTATTTTTATGATGTATACATTGCAAGCATCGTTGATGACTATGTGAGGCCGCCCTGAGTCCCCCTTGTGAGGAGAAGGGCGGGATAGAAGAATATGAAATAAATAATAAATAAATAAAACAATGCCTTCACTGTTAACCACATTATCTAAAGTCATCGCCTGGGCCATTCCAATAGTCATTGCACATAATTCCAATTTTATCAATTCCATGGGATCTTCAATTGCTTGATCAGAAAGCCACATTTTTACTTTCTTACAGAAGGTCAAGAAGGAGGGGGCTGATCTAATATCTCAAGGGAGGGAGTTCCACAGCCTGAGGGGCCACCACTCAAAAAGCCCTGCGTCTTGTCCCCACCAGTCGCGCTTGCGATAGGTGGGACCGAGAGCAGGACCTCCTCAGATGATCTTAAGCTCCAAGATGGTTCATAGGGAGAGATACGTTCAGACGGGCAACCTGGGCCGGAACCATTTAGGGCTTTATAGGCTAAAGCCAGCACCTTGAATTGTGCTCGGTAGCAGACTGGCAGCCGGTGAAGCTGATGCAACAGGGGGGTTGTGTGCTCCCTGTATGCCGCTCCGGTGAGCAATCTGACTGCCGCCCATTGGACCATTTGAAGCTTCCGAACAGTCTTCAAAGGCAACCCCTCACAGAACATGTTGCAGTAGTCTATTTGGGATGTAACCAGAGCATGGACTCCCGTGGCCCATAGTGCAACATCCATCATCCCTTGGGCAACGTCCTTCCAGACAGCCAATTCTTTTACACCAGAAGCGACTTGCAGTTTTTCAAGTCGCTCCTGACACGAAATAAAAGGGATTCACATGGGAGTCTTCCACAGATATGAAACTTATACTACACTATACATTAAAAAAAATCCATATACAAGCAGTCCCCATGTTACATACAAGATAGGTCCTGTAGGTTTGTTCTTACGTTGCTCTTATGTTGAATGTGTGTAACTGTGTGTGTGTGAGAGAGAGAGTTTTGCAAAGCTTAGGAAAGGATTAACACCCATGAGAAGTTTGCTTTACTGTCCGTACCCCTGCTGGGAAGATTTCACCTCACTTTCTGTCCCTGAGATAATTGGGTTTTGAACAAAATTGGCTTGTTGTGGAAACAAGGATTGGTGAGAAAGCTTCAGTGGAGGCAACCTTTTCCATGATAACGTTTCAGGAGTGAATTTCCCTTCTGAAGGGTAGATTTCTCTCACTTCCTGTTGTCACCCGTGTTCTTAACTATGAGTTGTGTGTACGTTGGATATCTGTAACTTGGGGAATGCAGTACATATCTGAATTACCTCCTATCCCTACAGTCCAGGAGAAGATAAAAGAAGAACCTTTCTTAAATCGGGATATCAAATTGGAAGATGAGGAGTTAGTTGATGAAGCTGCTGCTGCTACTACTGCTGCTGCTGCTGCTAGAGGATCCATGGGTCATCCGGCAGGAATGTCAGCCTTGATGGGGCACCGTCAGCAGACCCCCATGCCTCTGCAGCAGGCGGCTCCTGTCTCCGTTGCTGAATGTGACGTCACACTTACCGGTGGGTATTAATCCGGTGATGGCTCATTTCTTCTCTTCCTCCCTCATCCCTTTCTTTAACAGCATTTGTATTACAGGTGGGAAAGAGGTGCTGATTTTAATTTGATATTTATTAGAAAAAACCAATCTTTCCTTTTGTTTCTTTATTAATGCTCCCATTAGAAAATGTATATGGCTGTGGTGAACTACAAATCTCAGAATTATGGACCAATGCTTTCCAAACCCTGCCATTATTCAAAGTTGGCCGTATTGGGTCTGTGTGCCAAGTTTGGTCTAGATCCGATATCATCTGGGTTCAGTGCTCTCTTGAGAAGGGTGAACTACAACTCCCAGATTCCCAAAGCAATCACCCACAAACCCAGCCAGCATTCACAATTTCCCAGATCTGTTGTTGGCTGGGTTCAGTGTTCTCTGGGTAAGAGTGAACTGCAACATCAATTCCCTGAAACCTGGTCATGAGGGTTCTGTGTGCCAAATGTGGTCTACATCCATTATTGAAGAGGGTCACAGTACTCTGCTTTGATGCAGTGGGAACTACAAGTTCCATCCTGTATGCATTTATATATTACTAGCTGTCCCCTGCCACACGTTGCTGTGGCCCAGTCTGTTGATCTGGAAAATAAAGTAATGAGAAAGTGTTGGTTTCTAATATATATAATTTCTTTGTGCTTGTGGGTAAACAGTATTTTCTGCTGTTTCTTTGTCAGTGTTGATATGGAGAGTGTCTGGTTTGCCCACTCTGGAACATGCAACATATCATTGTCCTTCTTTAGGGATCCCTTTCAAATCTATGATACTATTATCTCTGCGTGTGTGAATCATATCTATCTATATCTATGGCTGGATGGCGCTCTGATAGGAGGGCTTTGATTATGTTTTCTTGCCCTGGTGAAGGTAGTTGGACTTGATGGCCTTAAGTAATTTCTGTTGGTCATGGGAGTTCTCTGTAGGAAGTTTGCCCAAATTCTCTCGTTTGTGGGGTTCAGAATGCTCTTTGATTGTAGGTGAACTGTGAATCCCAGTGTCTACAACTCCCAAATGTCAAGGTCTATTTCCCCCAAACTCCATCTGTCTTCAGTTTTGGGCATATTGAGTGCTTGTGCCAAGTTTGGTCCAGATCCATCATTGTTTGAGTCCACAGTGTTCTCTGGATGTAGGTGAACTACAACTCCCAAACTCAAGGTCAATGACCACCAAACCCTTCCAGTATTTACCGTTGGTCACGGGAGTTCTGTGTGCCAAGTTTGGTTCAATCCCATTGTTGATGGAGTTCAGAACGCCCTTTGATTGTAGGTGAACTACAAATCCCAGCAACTACAACTCCCAAATGACAAAACCATAATTTTTGAGTGATGGTCACTCCTTGTGTTGTGAGACATTTTGTTGCCAAATTTGGTGGGATTTTGTTCATTGGCTCTTTTGTTTTTAATGTACTCATTATGCACAGAGCATTTATATATATATATATAGAGAGAGAGAGAGAGAGAGATCTATAATGCATTAATATTACCTCTGCACCCCACAGACGAAGAGGAGTTAATCAACCTCCTCCAACAAGGAGGTTCCAAACAATCCCATCTGGCAGGAAAAGCCAAAACTGGCCGGCCTCCCAAAAACCAGGAGCTTCCGAAGACCAGCAGATACGAAAAGCTCGAGAAAAAATACCAGTGTCCCGACTGTGACTATCGGGCTTATTATCTCTCCGAACTGGAGAGACACCAGAATCGACACAAGTATAACACTCCCTACAGATGCCAGACCTGTGGCAAAACCTTCTTGAAGAAGTCAGCCCTCAACACCCACTACAAAAAAATCCCGTTGTGTCGAGAAAATGCTGCAAAGAGAATCCCAATAGGCCCAGGAGATAAAAAACACACCTGTCCCAAGTGCGGACATAAGACCTACAAATTATCGACCCTTCTCGTCCATATGAGAACCCACGGGGGCGAGAATCCATACAGATGCCAGCAGTGCGGACAGACCTTCAACTTCCACACAGATCTCATGAGGCATGAGGCACTCGCACACAAGTTGGAAAGCAGCCCCAGCAGCAGAAAACCATCTATCTTCCAACATATGAAGACACATCAAGGTAGGCTTGATATTGGTATTAAAAATAAGGTTTTTGTTTTAGTTAGCACATCTGTCCACACTGTAGAATGTATGCCATTTGACGTTGTTGTTGTTGTTGTTGTTGTTGTTGTTGTTGTTCTACCCCTCCTTTTTACACCAGGTGGGGCACAACATAGTTAAAACACATCTATGAAATAATAATAATAATAATAATAATAATAATAATAATCAACTTTATTTCTACCCTGCCGCCATCTCCCCGATGGGGATGCGGAGCGGCTTACATGGGGCCAAGCCCAGACAACATAATACAACAATACAGTCAAAGTATATACAACAGGCAACAACAACATTATCAAAATGACATTAAAAATAATAATAATAAAAAAAAATAAACATTCCAATAAACACAATCACGATAGAGATGACAATGGGCGGGCCACATATTCTGAATAAAAAACAGTTAACAAACTATGATGAGATAAGATAGGAGCAGGACGTTTAAATGGAACTCATAAAACACACAGAGTTGTGAGACAGAACATCCTATTTGGAAGGCATGAACTCCATTAGCAGAAAATGTGGAGGGGTGTAAAATATAATGCTGTGCACCTACTCACCAAAGGCGCAGCGGAAAAGCCAGGTTTTGAGGTTCTTTTTAAATGTTTATAGTGAAGGGGCTTTCCTGATCTCCCCAGGTAAATATTAAAAAAATCAATTAAACTGCTCTGACTCAATGATGCGGAATCCTGGGAGTTGTAGTTTGGTGAGAGAAACTCTCTTGACAGACAAGGCCAAAGACCCCTTGTAAAACTACATTATTTGAACACTGGTTTCTAAAGTCATAGGCCAGTATCACTTACACTTCACCTTTCCCAGTTTTCTGCCTCTGCTATCAAATTGTTGTTAAGTAAATGATCCTAACAACATGTCTGCATTATCACATGTATCAGCGTTTCTCAATCTAGGAGTCGGGATCCCTTGGGGAGGATCGCAAGGGGGTGTCAGAGGGGTCACCAAAGAGCATCAGAAAACACAGTATTTACTGTCAGCCATTGGGGTTTGTGTGGGAAGCTTGGCCTAATTCTATCGTTGGTGGGGTTCAGAATGCTCTTTGATTGTAGGTAAACTATAAATCCCAGCAACCACAACTCCCAAATGTCAAGGTCTATTTTCCCCAAACTCCACCTGGGTTCACATTTGGACATATTGAGTATCTCTACCAAGTTTGGTCCAGATCCATCATTGTTTGAGTCCACAGTGCTCTCTGGACGTAGGTGAACTACAACTCCAAAACCCAAAGTCAATGCCCACCAAACCCTCCCAGTATTTTCTGTTGGTCATGGGAGTTCTGTGTGTCAAGTTTGGTTCAATTCCATCGTTGATGGAGTTCAGAATGCTCTTTGATTGTAGGTGAACTATAAATCCCAGCAATTACAACTCCCAAATGACAAAAATCTATCCCCTCAACCCCACCAGCATTGAAATTTGGGTGTATTAGGTATTTGTGCCAAATTTGGTCCAGTGAATGAAAATACATCCTGCATATCAGATATTTACATTACAATTCATAAAAGAATCAAAATTACAGTTGTGAAGCAACAACAAAAATAATGTTATGGTTGGGGGTCCCCACAACATGAGGAACTGTATTAAGGGGTCGTGACATTAGGAAGGTTGATAACTGCTGACCTATATGGTAATAAATGATCACTTAGCAAATGAGATTAATGTTTTTTGTTTCAGGAGAGGGGGTGTCTCACTTTGGCTTTTATAGCTTTTCCTTCCTTGTCACATTTCGAGAAAAGCTTTGCAATCTCTCTTGATTGGCTGCCTCTCTCCCAAAGGGGAGGATGATTTTTTAAATTTTATTTATTTATTTATTTACAACATTTTTGCCCCTCTCTTCCACCCCTGCAGGGGACTCAGAGCGGCTAACAATGGCAACGATTCGACGCTGCCATAATTACAATTATAATAACAGGATAAAAACATACAATACAATAAGTTAAAACAACGTTAGTTAAACAATCATAAAGCCTTTTCCATTACAACAATCATATGGCCTGATTCAATGTTCAGGAGCCGTTGTATCAATTAGCCAAAAGCCTGGTTCCACCACCACGTCTTCAGTTTTCTTCTGAAAGAAAGGAGGGAGGGTGCCGATCTGATTTCACTGGGGAGTGAATTCCACGGGCGGGGGGCCACCATCGAGAAGGCCCTGTCCCTCATTCCCACCAGGCATGTTTGCGAAGCTGGCGGGACTGAGAGCAGGGCCTCCCCGGCGGATCTTAGACTACGATGAAACCCCCTTCCACACTACATTGTTGCCAGAGAACACTGTGTGTGTGTATACATACATACATACATTATTCTGTATTCCTTTAAATGTTGTTACAGTTGACTTTAGTTAACACAAATACTTGTAACAGCTTCCAATAAAACTCTCAGTATGGCTTTTACTTCCACCAGACTGGTTTTCAACTTATATCACTGAAAAGTATCTTTCTTTTCTTAACTGAGAATTCAAGGCATTGGCTTGCCTTTTCCTCCCTTCAGCTCTCCCCACTGAAGTTATGGATTACTACTGGGATTTCTTTTCCCCTTTAATCAGGTCCAATTGACTCTTTAAATACACAGGCTGAAGACTTAAATCCCTTGGTTCGGTTTCTCAACACACCAGAACCAACCATCCTCTTTGGTTTCCTCCCCAATGACTCCCTCTCTCCACCAGTGGCAGTTAGCTCCACCTTTTTTGCCTCTGCCTGGAGGCCTATGTCGCTATGGCAACGCATTATCTAAGGCAACCACAGTATTGTTTATTTATTTATAGCTTTTATGGCCCAATCTTCTCTAACTCCATAGAGGGACTCAGACCGGCTCACAGCAAGAATTCAGTGCTAACAATAAAAATCTAAAAACAACATACGACAATAATAAATCAACAATACATATAGAATAAAATACATATAAGCCATTCGCCAGGATAAAATCATGTCCAACTCAGTCCTTATATTGTAGTCAATAACTTGGGTCAATTAGCAGCCTCAGCTGTCATTCTGCAAATGCCTCGTTCCACAGCCAGGATTTCACTAGCTTCCTAAAGGTCAGGAGGGAGGGGGCAGATCTAATTTCCTAAAGGTCAGGAGAGAGGGGACAAGAGATAGGGCCTTCTCAGTGGTGGCTCCTCGGCTGTGGAACGCCCTTCCTACGGACATTAGACTAGCACCATCTCTAATGGTATTCCGCAGGAAAGTGAAGACCTGGCTGTTTGAGCAGGCGTTCAAATAATTAGTGCAATGATTGGTTAATGAACATTAGAACGGAATAATGGATGACGAATCTGGATCATGTTTTTGATGATGAGACGATAGTGAATAGTGAATGGTTATTGTAGTAATTGTTTATTAATTATGTAATATGTTAGGTTGTTAACTGTTTTTACACTGTAGCATTGAATTTTTGCTGTTCTTATTTGTTGTGAACCGCTGTGAGTCGCCTTCGGGCTGAGAACAGCGGTATACAAGTAAAGTAAATAAATAAATAAATCATTCGGGGGAGAGTTCCATAGCCGGGGGGCCACCACAGAAAAGGCCCTGTCTCTTGTTCCCACCAGTAAATGTTGGCCTGCACCTATCATATCACAACATCAATAACATTTAAAACATACATCATAATTAGCTATTTCGTTCCATCTACCTATCTCCTTGTTGAGGACCACAAACTTGTGCAGGATGTGGTTGAGTTCCAACACTCAGTACTTTTTTTCTTTTTGTTTTCTCTGTATCTTAGACAACACAAACCCAACACAAGTGGGTGAAGAGAATCTACTGCCAAATGAACCAAACAACACCCTGGTCATCCAGCAGGACGCTCCCGTCATAGCGATGATCCGGGAGCGATGGTGTTATGACAGGCCAGAGCAGCAGCTACAGGAGGAGGAAGATGAGGAGGACCCAGACCCAGTGGAAAGAAGCGAAGAGGCCACGGTAGAAACCAAGGAGGATGTCGCCGAGAAGAAAGCAGTCTTCCGGGCCATTCTGGGGAAGTTTGCCTATTGCAAAACCACGGAGTCAGATCAGACGGGGTCTTCGACCGACACGGCAGCCTCAGCAGAACCGAAGCCATCCTACAAATGCCTCATATGTGGCCAAGCCTTTGAGATGAAAATCGACCTCACTCTCCACGAGAATACCCATGCGGTGCCCACACCCGTTGAGAGCAGAGAGCACCAGCCGGATTTTACTTTGTGGAGCAAGAACTTGCTGAAGTATCACCTGGGCCAGGCCAGGCCGAAGCCGCACCCTTGCTGCGATTGCGGGAAGGAGTTCTACTGCAGAGACAACTTGGTGATCCACCTCAAAACGCACGGCTTCGAGAACATCTACGAGTGTGGCGAGTGCGATGAGGTTTTTGTTCAGCAGGATGAGCTGATGAGGCATAAGAGGAGCCACGCAGAGCAACAGTGCTAGGGAGCCAAGGAGAGACGAAAGGGAAAGAGAGGACCAGGCAGAACCTTTGGGGCAGCTCCGTTGTGGTGCATGGCTCACCTTTCCATGTCCTTTTTATTTACACACGATCACTGACTGTATTTTGAGTAAAGGCCCGCTTCCCTACCTTCATACACTTCTTCGGCGCTATTTGTACATTTATTCTAAGTGATTCCCAAGACTTTGGGGCTGCTGCCAAACCGAGGGACACCCAATTGCTGCACTACATGGCATTGCCTCTTGAACCAAGGGCTGCTGGTGGTTCCTCCCTCTACCTCATGGGGGGCTTCATCTGTTGGTGGTTCCACCTCAAAGCCCTCTTTGAAGGCAGAAGAACCAAGCAAGCTTCAGGGAGAAGGGCCATTTGGTGACTGTACCACAACCCCCTGTTTGATTAGTAAATCCAATTTTCTTGTGTTTTGTTATGCTTTTGTGATGTTGGAAATCCCATTGTCTTGTGTTTTGTTTTACTGTTTGGAATGTCCCCAAACATACTTTAGCTCTTCGACATCACCCTCGTGCTTTGGAAGGGATTGCTTCATTTCTTTTAACTGAGATATACCAGGCAACCACAACTGAGGATTTAAAGACAGTTCATTGTATATTTTTTCTTCCCTGCCCTTTTTCCCCCATCTTGTGGGGAAACGCTTCTTTCTCTCCCAACTTTGTCTGCCTCCCTCCCTCTATTTCTTTGCTTTTGCCTCAAGTTTATTTTGTTTTTCACATTGAACATAGGGCTTCTAGGGATGGTTGGGTATTGTTTTTTAATTATTGCATTTTAATAGGCTTGGCGTCATAAGGAGATGAAATGTTTTATTAATTGGATTAAACGTTTACATAGTTCAGCATCCTCTCTCTCACAGCTTTGGGTAACCCCACAAGTAAGATTTAAAGACCGCCATCCTTGCCTTCGGTTCTTCCGCTCTCCACCAGCAAACAATATTTGACATATACTGCATTGGAATACAGAGGTTCAGTTTCACTTACAGCTCTCGGTCCTTTGGTAACTGGTTTCTTAAACATTCAGGTGTGGCAGGCAGCTTAAGTGGTAGGAAAGCTCTTGTTTAACTTGTGCAGAACTTGGAAAATTCCTCTTTCGGGGATTACGAGCCCTGGAGTTTCCCATCCAGCATTACACTACTAGGCATACTGGCTCAGGTGTTCTGGGATTTGTAGTCCAACCCCAACCCCCAGTTCTGCTTTTATATCTTGATACTGTTGAATGCATGAGTGCAGGGCCCAGAGTTAAGGTGGTGGTCTTACCATGCAAACCCTTGTATAGGTCTGTTGAAAATGTAAGTTCCCCTGAGTTCAGCAAAACTTGTTCAAAGTATGTTGTAGCAATATAAATCCCTATATTCCCAAAGGGGTGGGTGGGGAAAAAAGGTCTTATGTCGATATTAGAGCAAACAGTTAAAAGAATAAAATTAATTTAGAGCTCCCAGGTTATGTTGCTTGTACAAATTGTGATGGGGTTGAATCAATTTGTTGATATGATTCTCGCTAATAAAGGTTTTTACAACTTTGAGACCTTTTTCAACAGTTGTGTCAGTTGGCTTGAATACCATGTTTCTTCTGTTCTAAGACACCATTGATTGTAAGATGCACACAGAAAAAACAATTTTATGTATAAAAGCACCCCCAACTCTAAGATGCACCCCATTTGTAAAGAGCTGAGGGGAAGTCTGCATCTTAGAATTGAATAATTACAGCATTTTAATGTTAGTTCTTTGTGTGTGTTTACATGAAAGCAAGTCACCATTAAATGTTGGACTCGCTTTTGAGTACATCTCTCTGAAAATCAGAGCAGTGGGTTCAAATTACAGAAAGGATATTCCACCTGAACATTAAGAAGAACTTCCTGACTGACACCTCTCCACAAAAGTCAACATTGACACTGAAATACAACACCGCCTGAGCTCTGCGAGTGCAGCATTTTTCCAAATGAAGCAGAGAGTGTTTGAGGACCGGGACATCCATAGGGATACCAAGGTGCTTGTTTATAAAGCTATTGTCCTCCCAACCCTGCTATATGCCTGCGAGACATGGACTATCTACAGACGTCACATGCAACTCCTGCGTTGCCTCTGAAAAATCCTGCAAATCTCTTAGGAAAACAAGCAGACAAATGTCAGCGTGCTGTAAGAAGCAAAGACCACCAGCACTGAAGCGATGGTCCTCCGCCATCAACTCTACTGGATTGGCCACCTTGTCCGGATGCCCGACCACCGTCTCCCAAAGCAGCTGCTCTACTCCGAACTTAATAACGGAAAATGGAATGTTGGTGGGCAGGAAAAGAGATTTAAAGATGGTCTCAAAGCCAACCTTATAAACTGTGGCATAGACGCCGAGAACTGGGAAGCCCTGGCCCTTGAGAGCTCCAGCTGGAGGTCAGCTGTGACCAGCAGTGCTGTAGAATTTGAAGGAGGGTGAAAGAGAGAAAGGTGCCAAGAGAAAGGCGTATCAAGACAACCCTGACCGGGACCACCTTCCATCTGAAAACCAATGCCCTCACTGTGGGAGAAGATGCAGATCAAGAATAGGGCTCCACAGTCACCTACGGACCTACCACCAGTACACCGATCCTGGAAGACTATCCTACTCAGACAATGAGGCATCACCTAAGTAAGTAAGTAAGGACTGTAAAAGCTGTTCAACAGTGGAACTCATTGCCTCAAAGTATGGCAGTTTCTTTGCAGGCTTTTAAAACAGTAGTTCCCAACCTTTTTCTGACCAGGGGCCACTCTCCAACATTAGTACCAAAGAGGTTACAAATCAGTTTTTGGTCAACATTAGATTTGGTTTGGTTATTTGGGGTGCTGATTCAGAAAATTGCATTGGATAGACCACATGAGCTCTGGTTTCTGATACAGAACATATGCCATCCAGTAGTCGTCATCTGCTCACCCACAGAAAACCATAATTAATAATCTAGAGCTGATGTGGTAGTAGTAATATTTTGTGGGCAGTCAGCCTCTCCCCTCCCGACATCCCCATTGCCTCAGCACTATAAGAGGATTTCACAAGATCAGTTGCTCTCGTTGCCATGTGATTTCGAGGCAACAATGTAGTAATGGTGATGCTGCAGACCATATTTTCATAGACCACATCAGCTCTAGTTTCTGATACAGAACATATGCCACCCAGTAGTTGCCATCAGCTTTCCTACAGAAAATCATATTTAATAAACCTAGGCACTATAAGAGGGTTTTGCGAGACTAGTCACTCTCATTACAATGATCTAGTAACTTTGAGGCCGCGGATCATATTTTAGTTCTTGCGGACCACTGGTGGTCCACAGACCACAGGTTAGGGACCACTGCTTTAAACAGATGGCCACCTGTCAGGGATGCTTTGATTGTGCTTTTCCTGCCAAGCAGGGGGTTCGACAGGATGGCCCATGGTCTCTTCCAATTAGTCTGTGATTCTATGCTATGGTTTGAGTGGTGGACTAGGACTCCCAAGAGGGATTTGAATCTCTGCTCAGCAATGGAAACCCACTGGGTGGCCTTCAGAGGAAATTAAACAAATCTGACCAAGAAAACCTAGATAGAGTTGCCATAAGTTTAGAGTTGAAGACACACAGGACGAAGAACAATAGATACACTTCAACTACTACAGAATACAACAACCTAATGCTCAGGTATTTGTTCATTACATACATTTTTATTTATTTATTTTTTGTCGTGTCAGGAGCGTCTTGAGAAACTGCATATGAAAATGGAGAGTGCACACATGGCTTTATCATACGGTGATTTATGTATCCCATCCTTCAGGTATTTGACAACATGGGCTACTAGCAAAGAAAGTTCGGAATATGTTACATCAAATCTGTTCATCCTATTAAATACACCTGCGAGGGTGCCGTAATTATCACTAAGCGATCTTAAGGCACTAAATCAGTTGTTAAACGGATCCCGTCGTCTGCCACCAATTTGCGAAGTTGCATTAATTATCACTGCCACCAAATAGAGAAGTAGTCAGCAGAGGAGTAGCTAAATTACAAGTGCTGTTGTGTAAAAGGAGAGTAGAGGGAGATTTATTATTTATTTCTCTGTATTTCTGCCACCAACGTGAGGTAAGATGTATTATTGTGAGAAATGGCACTCTGGATGCAGAATTGATGGAGATGAGGCAGTCTTCAAACAAAAGTTAAATTTATTGAGTACAAAGCGTGTGGTTGCAAGTTGTAACTTTTGTTATAGAACTCAGAATAATACTTGGTTAGTTGAACATTTCACTCTTTCAGGTTACACAGTATCTTCCTGAGGTGAAGCACTTATTACTAAACAAAGTTTCAATGCAGGGATATCTCCCTTATCTGATCCTCCCTTGATCAGATACTTAATAAGCTTATTCTTTAGCCTTTCCTTAAACTAAAAGAATACTGGCTATAGAATCATAGAATCAAAGAGTTGGAAGAGACCTCATGGGCCATCCAGTCCAACCCCCTTCTGCCAAGAAGCAGGAATATTGCATTCAAAGCACTCCTGACAGATAGTCATCCAATCTCTGTTTAAAAGCTTCCAAAGAAGGAGCCTCCACCACACTCCGGGGCAGAGAGTTCCACTGCTGAACGGCTCTCACAGTCAGGAAGTTCTTCCTCATGTTCAGATGGAATCTCCTCTCTTGTAGTTTGAAGCCATTGTTCCGCGTCCTAGTCTCCAAGGAAGCAGAAAACAAGCTTGCTCCCTCCTCCCTGTGGCTTCCTCTCACATATTTATACATGGCTATCATATCTCTTCTCAACCTTCTCTTCTTCAGGCTAAACATGCCCAGCTCCTTAAGCCGCTCCTCATAGGGCTTGTTCTCCAGACCCTTGATCATTTTAGTCGCCCTCCTCTGGACACATTCCAGCTTGTCAATATCTCTCTTGAATTGTGGTGCCCAGAACTGGACACAATATTCCAGATGTGGTCTAACCAAAACAGAATAGAGGGGTAGCATTACTTCCCTAGATCTAGACACTATGCTCCTATTGATGCAGGCCAAAATCCCATAGGCTTTTTTTGCCGCCACATCACATTGTTGGCTCATGTTTAACTTGTTGTCCACGAGGACTCCAAGATCTTTTTCACACGTACTGCTCTCGAGCCAGGCATCCCCCATTCTGTATCTTCGCATTTCGTTTTTTCTGCCAAAGTGGAGTATCTTGCATTTGTCGCTGTTGAACTTCATTTTGTTAGTTTTGGCCCATCTCTCTAATCTGTCAAGATCGTTTTGAATCCTGCTCCTGTCCTCTGGAGTATTGGCTATCCCTCCCAATTTGGTGTTGTCTGCAAACTTGATGTTTCCCTTATCAGCCTCTCTAGCCTAAGAAACTTCCAGTAGCTTAATCTGGCTTTCCAAAGCCTCAACACTTTGCTTCACAATTCACTCTCTTTCAGCTACCACCTCCTAATACTTTCCTCTACCAACTCCTCACCCTCCAATCTTAACTGCCTCACTAACTGTCTCTTTTCAAAACTCTCCCCTCTAGGCTCCTCCCACTTCTCGCTCTGCCGGCTTGCCTTGGTCTCCATGGCAACGCAGATGGAGGATTCCTTTGAAATAGGCCGCTCCAGAGTTACTGCAACCAACACAAACCCATAAATACAGTTTAAATCATGCAAATTATTATTAACTTCCTCACAACACCTATAGCATCTCTCTTGAAGATCTGCAAATCCAAGTCTGGGTCCTCTAACTTTAATGCATAACATGATTATTACAGACCTGATTTCCAAGCCAAGTGATAACACTTATGCACATTCCTTATCCAGAATTCTGAAATGAGAAATATACTGTAATTATCCCCATAGGTGGCTGAGAGAGTGATAACTTTGCTTCCTGGTGGTTCAGGGTACACTGTCGCACCTCAGAGTAAAGTCACCTTGCTTAAGACACCAAAGAACACACCAGCAGTAGTCTTTATGGTTTATTAAAGTAAAAGATGAAAAGTTGAAAAAGGCAAAAGTATATTTCAATAGATCAATCCAAGGTAACATAGGTAACATGAAGACACGGGCAAGGCAAAGTCCCATGAGAACATGACAAAGTCCTATGAACATGAAAGCTGCAAGATAAATCCAAAGTTTTGGTTGAAGCAGGAAGTTGCTTTGACACTGAGGCATATTCAAACAGCCTGTTTAATACTCTTTGGACAACATGAAGGCGTTCCTATGTCCCCGAGCCTCCCTCTCTTGCCTGCTAGCGATCCTGAAACTCCTTCGAACCTTAGCTCAATCTAAACCTCTGGCTTCATCAAGGTCAATTCCCTCATTAGTGCTTTTTCCCTCATTATCTGGCTGAGAACCGTCCTCCCTTCCTGAATCATGCACCTGGCTCTCAGTAGTTTCACTTTCCCCAGCGTCATCCCTTGCTGTGGGAAACAACTGCACTTCTGCCCCCTGTTCCTGGTCTTCCTCTAACACAGGGACATCATTGCTTTGCACCTGACTGTGAATCTGAATCCCATCATCCCCATCAGAATCATTGACACTATCACTCTGAGATTCCAGCTGAGTCACAACATACACAGACTTGGTT